AAAATTCCTCACTAGGTTTCAATTACACTGACCTAATCCCTTAAGAATCAGAAGGGGAAAACAACCACACACAGGGTTTAGTAAAAACTGCTAGATGGATCAGGAAAGATATGTTTATCAACAGTAAATCATTCTTTTCTACTGTTTATTTGTAGTGTTTCATGGTTTAAATCGGATCAGGAAAATTTGTCTACAAATCTTTAATAAAAAAAGTATAAAATAGTTTGAAAGACATTTAGTCAGATGTTTTACTTTCAAATCTGAGCTGTCTGGCTTCATTGCAGACAGTCCACATCGCTGTACCGAATGTTTTTTTTTTCCTCTAACAAATTAAGGTAAAAAAAATATGGAATCAAAGAGGCAAACTTCTAAGTGCCCAAACAGAAAAAAAATTCATGTCTGAAAACAGGAAATGTGAAAGACAGAAAATGATGAATATTTGTGATGTAAATCATTCATCAGGAAATAACCAACTCCTGGACAGTGGATGATTTGGTATAAAACTGGTGATTCATTTTCAATCTTAGAAAGGGTTAAAATGTACACGTTCAAATTTATTACATTAAAAAAAGTCTTAAGAAGTTTAAAGTATGATTTTTGCTTAAAACATATGCAGAGTTTTCCTCAGCATATTATAAGCCTAGAGAGCTGCCAGGCTGTGTTGTGTTGTTTGACATCGACCTAAGACGTACAGAAAAGTTCCCGGTCTATAACCTATTTTATTGATCTACACATAGAACAACAGAGAAGAGAGAGCTTTTAATAAATGTCCAACTGTCCTGCCATAATAGACTACATTAAACATACACATTATCTCGTGCAGCGATCTTCTACTACACAATTTTCCTCTCCTGTCTTTTGAAAATATTCTCCTTTTTATTTCTGCATTAAAATCTCTAGTTCCAGTGAGGTGAACTGGCACTTCCTCTTGCCTGTTGTCATGGTGATTCATTAAATCTGGGCTCCAATGATAATGGATTTTCATACATGTTAGTCACGTGTTCAACTCTGAGTAAACTATTCATGGTTCTTTAAACTAATTGATAGCAGAAACCAACCTCAGGCTAGATCAATTCAGAGCTGAGGAGTTGAGCCTGAATTTGTTAAATAGACTTTGTGAAACGGGCCTCCTGACTGGACTGGGCCAGGCGAATGTAAGTAAAGGTTTAGATATTTCGACTAAATTTGATCGCTGCTATGCCTGCCACTTTCGCCTCACTTCATTCCCATGGTGGGCAGTGAACAAAGCTCACTTATTTCACCAGAATCGTGCCATTTGCCTCACTAATTTTGCGTTCCTGTGAACACCTTAGGACATATTAATTGTTCTGTGTTCATACTGTTAGGTTTATTGAAGACAGTTGGTGTGTGTACGTATGAAACATTGAAGACCTGCCTCCAGCCAGAAGGTCATTACAGGGTCATTCTGTCTTAGGACCCACTCCATCCTGTTGTGATCTGTTAATAAAAGGCTCTGCTGTGAAGGGAGCAGTGAGAGGAGGTGCTAGTTGTGAGCTAGCAGTTCTTCTCCCTTCTGCAGAGGCTGTGGTTGCAAATCCCTGTCTGTGTCTGATCATTTCGTCCTCTATAAACTCACATTTCTTAGAACCCAACACATCAGAGATGGCAAAAGTACTCACTTTCCGTACTTGAGTAAAAGTACAGATACTTGTGTTAAAAAAATACTCTGGTAAAAGTGGAAGTACTGATTAAACTTCTTTACTCAAGTAAAAGTAACAAAGTACAGGCTTGTAAATTTACTTAAAGTATAAAAGTAAAAGTAGAAACCACTTTTTTCATGCCGTTGCCTACATTTTAAATGGATGTCTGCCAATAGGACTAGATCTCCGTTGTGTTCATGTTCAATCATCTCGTCGTCCATGCTACTATGCTAACGCCACCGCCACCAAGCTGCAATGATTTGCCGCCAATGAATACCGCCGAATCTGTCGATTCATCTTGTAGTGGTGCGTCAAATGCAACGTAGATTCCCATCCAATTAGATTGAATTTGGTATTGATGACGTGAAAAATAATAACGGTAACTCCATTGAAATGATTCAAAACTAAAGTAACGAGCCAATTTTTTAAAATGTAAGGAGTAGAAAGTACAGATATTTGTGTAAAAATGTAAGGAGTAGAAGTAAAAAGTCACCATAAAAATAAGTAGTAAAGTAAAGTAAAAATATCAGAAAAATCTACTTGAGTACAGTAACGAAGTATTTGTACTTCGTTACTTCCCATCTCTGCAACACATACAAACGTCAACACAGTTCTGTAAGTAGTTGGCAACTGAAATCCCAGCAATGCTTTTTTTCACTGTATGGAAGTGAATTTTATATTAAATGTAATTTAGAGTGGTCTAAAAAAGTCTTAAATTTAATTTTTTGATCACTATTAGACCATATGGTAAAAGATAAAAGGATGTTTGAAGTAAATAAAAAAAAGGTAGCTAACTTAGAGCCCATAGAATTAAAACTTTTAAGAGGTTTTAATCAGTTTTAACCTTTAGGTTCATGGCCTCCTAATTTTGAATCAGTGTTGTGTAATTAAGTAATTTAAATACGCTTGACCTGGATGAAAACATAAATATTTATACATTTTCCACCCAAGTGGTGAAAATCTTTTATTAGTAACTTTTTTCACATGTTTTGTTTTTAAACATTGAAGGGTTAGCTGGTAATGAAAAACTTTTTACTGTCATGTATCTGACATGGTTTGTTTGCTACAAAATAAATCAAATGAGCAATGGTTTCATTTTCTATCAGGGGTTGTTCCTGCTGATTGCGAGGATTTCAATTTGGATCCTTTATCCGACAGATTCATCAAACCTTTCTTTATGCAGTGCCCTGGGAAACAGGGTGTCCCACTTGAACGATTTACATTTCGTCAGGTGACAACAAATCTTGATGTATTGTAATGTGACGAACCCGCATAAAGTAGCACATAATGATAAAGGGAAACGATAAATGGCTTTCAAAATGTTTTTTTATTACTTTTAGGGTCTCCATTTTGCTCCAGTCATGGCTCCAAGCTGTGGTGTTTCTAGACCAAGATCTCAATGTGGTCCAGTGATTTTTTTGTTTTTTTTAATACACCGGCATAAAGCAAAATAATCTAGCAAAAAAAAAAGAAAACTGGGCAGAGTTAATCAGTGAAATAGTGGCTCTGGGGCTGGAGGCTGCAGACCTCCATTATAACCCCAAACCTTTAGTGTGGCTACAGCTTAAAGTACAGCAGCTTCTTTTATAAATCTAGATATTTTTATTTAATATATTATTTACAAAATATATTTAATGAAAGAAACCAATCAGATTCTCTGTCAGCACAAATCATTATAGGGGGGTGGTGGCCTAGTGGTTAGGGGGATAGAGCTTGGAATCCTGAGGTTTGAGCCCCACTCCCACAGACTGCCACTCTAAGACCCTTAACCCCACATTGCTCCCCGGGAGCCGCACTATATCAGCCCACTTTTGTCCTATATTTAGCTCCACCCAGCTCTCCATCAACTCTGACCAGCTTCCCTGTCTCTGGGGAAAAAAAAAAAGCAGCCACTACCGTGTTTCAGCATGGAGACAAACAGCGATTTCTCTTTGAATTACAGGACTCCCTTTCTGCCGTATATATTGCTTTGCAAGCTTTTATTTTTTTGTAACTTTTCCCCTGATCTGTCTAGAGTGTTTATTGGTCTCAGTGATGCTGTTTGCTTTTTAACAATCCTCAGGCCTTGGTTTAAATTACACACAGCTGAGCTCGGCTTGATTCATTTTAAAGGCATGTGCTCACATTCAATTTAATTTAGGGCTATCAGATTTAAAGAATATTGGAATGGAAAATGTGTGGCACTTTTTTTCTTATATGTTTTGTAACAAAAAACCTTCAAAGCAGCAAGTTATTTTTGTCTATCTAATGTAAAACATCCCAGTAAAAAAAAAAAAAAAAAAAAAAGAACGTAGCTGAGACTTTCTAAATAATATCAAAGTTAAAACATTTTCAACATTTTGTAAAGAACATGAATCCTCTTTGGTTTCTATGCAATATATTTGAGAAACTGCTTAACCTCAGTTTATTTAGAGTACATTTCTTTGTCACAAAACAGAACATGACACTTGTTTGAGTCATAAACATTTTATTGTAAAACTTCCATATGGAACAGCTTGCTCTGAATTCAAGTTATGCCTACTTTACCAAAAAACAAACAAACAAAAAAAAAAAAACTCTTGCAATGAAGCTGCTATACTTGTGATTTCACTAAATCAAATAAAATTTAGGTAAAAACTTCTTTTACTGCAAAAAAATATTGTCAAAATAGATAACATTCTTTATATTCTAGCTTTATAATTTAACAGTACACAACATTTTATTTTAAGTGTGAGAAAACGTTACGGCAGGTTTCCCTTCATCGCTGAAAAGCTTCAAACAGGCGATGGAAGTGAAAAAAAAACCCGGCTGGTTTGAACGACGTTTAAATGGGGAACATTAGCACCTCCATTTAAAGGCGGTGCGTGGCTCATTCACTCAGCCTTAAACAAGCACAGTAAAAAGAATCCAAGGCACATGTTTTAAGGCAATAAACCTGACTATGAAATTGTGCAAGTAACAAACTGCGGCTGGTTTGAACTGTCTGTTTCAGACTTTTTTTTTTCTTTCTTGAGTTTTATGTTTGCATAACTTTTTCTGCGTTGATGCAAACGGCATAAAAAGATGGTAAATGTGTGTTTTATTACCTTGTTTTCAGAACTCGCACTTAAAAGCAGAGACATATGTGCCTCTTTGTGTTTTTTTTTTGTCATTTGCTCCAATGAAAAAACATATTTTGAATATATCACTTTCACTACTTCATTTTAATTGCTTTTCTCGTTTTCTGCCCCTCAGGTGATTAATGTACTTCAAAATATTGTGTTTAATATCTTTCCATACATAAAGAATTTATTTGTGTATTGCAAACATACAAATTTGGTTAAAATAGTTAAAGAAAATGTATTTTTTCCTTACCTTTAAACAGCAAAAAATATTGGTCCGTGCTTCTATCCATTTTTGACACTGCAGTCTCAGTTTCATAAAATCTTCTAACACAATTTATAATGTAATTTATGGGCTAGAATGAAAGATTTTTTGTTAAAGGTGACAATTTAGTTATGACAAAACAACATGTTTTTTGTTAATTGGATGAAGACTGAAGTTATTGATGACATTTATTGGAAAATGAGTTTTTAATTGCAGCCCAGGCCATACAGTATCCCCGGAAGTTCCAATTTGAAGAGACTGGATGGGATAATAATTGACTATATAAAAATAATCAAGACAAATTTTCAATAGGATATTTGTTTAGAATGTGAAATAATCTAGTTTTAATGTAAAGTTTTTCCTATTGCCATGTTTCTTATTTGTCGTTTCCACTTTGGTGAAACCAGATTTGAAACCAGAGTTTTACAGCTAATTCCTCTGTAGTCAAAAAGGAATCTAAACGTAAATAAAGTTTCCTTGATCTAATGTATGCTGAGGAAAGTACCAAAGATTAGGTGGCAACATTTCAAAGAGTATTTTTTGTGTGAAAAAGAACAGGTAGGAGCAAAAAAAAAACAAAAAAAGGATAAACAGTCAGCGGTTAAAGCATGTTTTTCTTTTTTTGACTCTGCCTTGTGATATTAGAGCAGGTAAAACTGTTGGACAAACTGCAGGAGGCTAAACCTTGGGGTGTGAAAGTAGAATAAAGACAGAGGGGCTTTCAAAGGGTGTCCAGGGTGCAGAGAGGAGGAGGAGAGGAGAGGGAGGGGAAAAGTCAGGAAGAGTTCAATAAAACAAGAGGGAAGAGGGGTGGGGGGGTGTGCAGAAGTGCTAGACAAGCACTTTAGTCAAATGAAGTAGTTGAACCCACACTCACGCCTGTCCTCTGACGGGTTCCCACAAATATTTGAAGTGTGGTTACTGCAACAATGTGCAACAGAGAGGAGAGCAAACAGAGGCTGGATGGCCTCCATGTTTGCAGAAAGTCTTAATAAAGCCACACTTTAGGAAGCATTGAAGGCTAACCAAATAAACAGGCTGTTTAAAAAGGTCATCTGCCTTCACCTAAAACAAGCTGTTTTTTTCAGTGACAGGCAGAGCTGCTTCATCAGTTCTCTCTGGTATCCAAACTTCCATCTCCTCAGAGTAATATCCATAGGAGGACCAACCCCATGAGGCTGGGTGCGCTCTGGCAGGCGGAGGACCTGTCAGTGCGCACCTCCTCTCTGTCTGCTTTCTGATCATAATCCTCATCCTCATAGTTGTCTTCAACTTCAGGTCGGTCAGAAACCACGCTGTGGTCCCCGATGGAGCAGAGCTTGCTCATGTTGTCCTTCACCACCTCGCAGAAAGGTCTCTCCACTCCGTCACAGACGCAGCGGTTCAGCAGCGCGCCGTTGGGGATGAACAGCATCTGCTGGATGGTGGCCTTACACCTGGAGGAGCACCTCCTGCCGTTGAACAGCTGCCCGCAGTGGGACAGGTAGGCCGACAGGGAGGCGTGGCAGCTGCTGTCCTCCTCGCACCGCTGACGGGCCTCCATGCAGCCGATCCCCCCCGCATCGCTGGGGTGTCTGCGGGGCAGGCACGGCTCGATGGCCCGCTTTGCGCCCAGGCAGTCCGGGTCCTGTGCGCAGTCGCAGGTCTCCAGCTCCGGGCCGCTGCGGGTGTTGTTGAGCCGGATCAGCGCCTGGATGCAGTGGCTCGGACACTGCCTCCTCGTCCCCCGGATGTTCCCCTCGCACGCCGCCAAGTACTGACCGTAGGCGAGCTCACAGTCCGGCTCGTCGTGGCATTTGAGGATCGCCTGCCAGCAGATGAGCTGCGCGTCCAGAGCCACCAGGAGCCACAGGAGGAGCGGCAGCGAGCTGCGCGCACATCTCATGCTGGGCTGAACTTTGTAATGTTTACATCAAGATCCGGACTGCAGAGCGCACAAACCCCCTAACCGACTTTAGTGACCAAAACCCGGAGTCCTGCTTGTTTCTCCTGCTGGTGGGAACAACCACGAGTGGCTGCGAGGGAGAGAAATGTGGCAGAAACGGTCATCTCTGTCCAAAACAGGATCCAAAACTTTACCAGAGTTCTGATCCTCAGCGCGGATGTTTCTCAGCAATCCTCGCTTCGATTCGCCAAAAACTTTTAACATCCATCCAGACTTGGTTTGTTTGTTTGTTTGAGTTTTTTTGGAAATAGTCCGGAGGTTTCCCCGCGTCCCGCTACGCGCGTCTTTGTCCTGCCTCTGGCTGTAACGCTTCACGGTCCGTCGAGCATTTCTCCACAGCACCCCTCCCTCTGTCCAGGAAAGAATGGAAAAATCCCCCCCACCCCACACCCTCCCTTTCTCTTCTTTCATTTACTATCCTGGTTAACGATTGGTTGTGGATCCGAGTCCCACTTCCAGCTCCACAAATCGGAGAGAAGCTGCGGCGGCCTGCAGAAGTGATTCTAGCGCTTCAGCTGTCTGACCTGTCCCGTTACAAACCACACTTCACTGCGGGTTGGTGGGACCAACACAGAGTAGTGGGGGGAGAAGGATGTTTTGATTTTCAGTTTTTTACGTAAAAATCTGAAAAAGTGTGGCATGCATTAACAAACCGCACTATAACCAGAGGCCTCTAAAGTCACATTATTATATTTTATAACCTCAGTATGAGAGCAGCAAGCAAACAAACAAACAAACACAAACCTGACTAAAACAATAACCTCCTTTTTGGATTAATTATGACTTTGAAAGTTGATATTATGACTATAATATGATACCTGACAACATTTCAATCTGAAAAACTCACACAAAGAGAAAAGATAATTAGGAGAAATTTATTGATACAATAACTTTGTCTTTGGTATTCAGACCTCTGCAGGAAACAGCGCTTAATTTTGATAGAAATGCATGAATAGAAGCAAAGAATAGGGCTGTTTCCCCCCCAGGCCTGAAACTGGTGGTGAAGTGGAGATAGATGGAGTTGGTCAGTCTGTAGACTGCTGGTTGGAGTGGAGATAGATGGAGTTGGTCAGTCTGTAGACTGCTGGTTGGAGAGACGGTCTGCTGAGCTTTATGGGGAGATCCAGTGGACTGCGTGAGCTGATACTAGAGCTTCACTCAGGGACCTGGAAGATGGAAGTCCAGTTTGGATAACACAGGTTGAGAGAACCTGTCCATGATGAGCAAGCATGAAGCGACAGTGGAGAGGAAAAACTCCCCGTTAGGAAGAAACCTCTGGCAGAACCAGGCTCAACATGGAGCGGGTGAGATGAGACAGGGGGAACGCAGTAAGATTCCGGGAGGAATGACGCTCTGATGAAGCTTTAGCTACGATGGTGGAGGAGGGGCTGGAGGGGGGAGGAAACAGGGTCATCTAAATGAAGTCACACCGCCTGCGCACAGGAGCAGACAAGTGCAGATCGGAGGCCTTTTAAGATGAACTTTGTATGCCGATTGGCTTTCGTGGAGGCGTAGTTCAAAGCTGATCGGCTGTGTCGCAGGTGGATGGAGGAGAGCAACGAGTTTCTTCAGTTGAACTTCCACTGAGGCTCCTTTTCTCAAAGAACTGAAAACTTCTTTCTTCTTAGAAAGGAGCTGCCTTCATGAAGTAGCGGAGCTGTGCATAAAGCCCGTTAGAGATTAGAGTAAACATAGATGCTCTGGTTAGATGGGATCAAAATAAGTCAAAATAAATTTGATATTATGGGCAAAGCAGAGTTAAAATGTACATGATCTCATGATGGTGGCAGTGTCATGCTGTGGGGATTTTTTCAGTTTTCTCACCAAGGACCAGGAAGGTCACCAGAGTTAAACGCACACAGCTGACTTTGTTCACCTAAAGAGTTGATGCATGAGTTATTTTAAAATATTCCTCAGGCCAATATACAGCGCTTGACACTATCAATGCTATGAGTGTCCAACCCCCCCTTTGAAATAATGACTATATAAGTTGGGAGAAGATGCATTCTTGTTGGCCAGGTCATGTTACCTGGAAAAATGTATCGCTTAACGGCCATAGACTTAGCCTTAGAGAACTTTTATTAGTCATTTTGTATACTGCTTTGTACAGCTTTCAGACAGTAAATGAGCAGCAGATTAGCAGTGAAATGAACATCTTCATTTCATAAAGTGCAACATCGATCAAATGTAAACAGTGTAAAAAAAACATAGTGCAAAAACATGCAATGCAATGGAAGTTCAGAGGATTGAATATATATGGTGCAAATATGCAGTATTTTGGTTTAATGTTATCAGTTTGATGAAGACTCAGTGACATGATTTAGAATTTATTCAACATTCAGTCGTCTGATGGAGGAGGGGGAAAAGCTGTTGCAGAACCTGCTGGTCCTGCATTGAATGCTGTGAAGCCTCTTCCCAGAGGGCAGCAGGGAGAACAGTCCTTGGATGGGGGGGTGAGGGGTCATTGATGATGTCACGGGCTCGGGACACGCAGTGCTGGGATGAAATGTCTTTAATGGAGGGAAGAGGAGCCCCCATGATCCTCTCTGCTGTTCTCACCTTCTTCCAGTCTGAGGCGCTGCAGCCTCCACAGCACACAGTGAGACAGCTGCTCAGAACGCTCTCTATGGTGCTTCTGGAGAAGGAGGGGAGGATGGGGGGGGGGCAGGTGGGCTCTCCTCATCCTCCGCAGGAAGTACATACGCTTTTGTGCCCTTCTGTTCCCACAGGCTCTTATATAGTAATGGAGTTATATAAGCTATTTAGCGCCCCTAGTGGCCAAGAGTAACATGCTATGCCTTTAGCAAGATAGATCGAGCTAAATACCGTTCCGGTGTTTTGCCCTCCATGGTCTTAACTTTGGCCCAAATCACTTATGTTTTTTTAAAATTTGTAACATTTTCAAGGCAGTTCGTTTCTTATCACACCAATATTTATTTATTTTTTATTTGGCTCAGAAATCAAACCAGGGACTCTTCAAAGTTTCTCCAACCGCTTGGCCTCCAATCCTCAGGCTCACTGATAAGCACTAACTTATGTCCACCTGTGACATCATACTCAACTGAATGGCTCTGAGATTTGTGTTGTAACCTGGGTTGTAGTGTCATGGAGTCATAAAGCAACGGCCACTAGGGGCGCTAAAACCTCTAACTTTAAGGTTTGAAAACAACTGGTCACACTGCACTGTGCAAAATTAAACAGCCTCTCTGGTGTTTTAGAAACTGTTATCAGTGTTGCTTTAAGCATTCGAAGGCCCTCTAGTTAAGAACCTCGTCACCAATAACAGCGTTTCAATTCAGATTTGGTTTAATCTGGGAAACAACCATTGATAATTGGATTATTTTTGCTGAGACGTATGAACAAATTGAGCTAAACACAATAATCCAACATTGGCTCTTGGGACTTTTAACTCCTTAAATTGATTAAAATGTATCAATACTGCAAACCCTGAGTCGTCTTTCCTAATAAAAATTGTGAGAACTGTAATAAATAAAAGCAATTATAGGAACTCCTGTTGGCTTTGGGCTCCTAAGCAGTGGCTCATGTTGATTTAACTTTTGATGGAAAAGAGAAAAAAAATAGGTTTAGGGGTTATGTTCTTACCAGGCACAGTATATGATGAGTGGCTGGATGAAACCGGTTATAATTTTGCTTGCATGAAACCAAGGATCTGTGTGGTCCCCCTTCCCTACCCCCCAACACCACCACCACTGTTAGCTTCTTCTGGCAAAACACAAGTTAGAGCAGCAGCCAGGAGGGGGAGCTTGCAAAATGCATTCCATTACAGAAAGGTCACATCTGCAACTTTTCTGCACCAGCTTTCACCAGAGCAGCAATAGCTCCTTTCTCTTAGAGCTCCTCGCTAATTGTCACACTGCCCCTCCCTCGCTGTCATTCTGCTCAGTTTTAAGCCCCCGATTGAGAGAGGAGAATAGGGGAGAATGGTATTTTCTGGCCCGTTTCACCCTGATTGTGTCAGATTGGCCATGCAGCGGCCCAGTGTTTTTCCAGGCTGAAGATTGTTCACGCACTGCAGCCTGTCAATAGGGAGGGGTTCAGCATCAATATATTTTACAGCTATTCCCTTTCAAACCACACTTGAAAACCAGCAATAGCTCAGGCTTTACTGCCATTGAAATGGTAACTAACTTCTTTTGCGAAGGGGTAAAGTTGCTCCAGGTCTACCCCCTCGTGTAACTTGTGCCAGTTTTGCACAAGCCCCACAGAGCAGTTTGATGCCCAAACTAAAAGTTCCCTCAAGGCTGTGATAACTTCAGTTAAATAAACAAACAGGTGAATAAATGATTAGCACCATAATAATTCACATATACTCACCAAATTTAGGCTTTAGTGCTGCAAAGCAAAGTAGTAACGCTATAATAAAAATCCTGTACTCTTTTTAATGAGAGTCTTATTAAAGGATTTTAAAAAATGTTTAAATGTTTATTCTGAGAAAAAGAGAAACAGCAACATGTGACTCCTCCTACAGAGACAGAAGTTATTCTTATTTAACAAAACACAGATGTTGTTAAATTTGCAGATACTAGAACTTTTTATCTTTTGGTTTCTATGCAGCTGAGTCTCATTTTGTTTTAACCAGTATGGAGTGAATTTTGTTTCTCCATTTTTGTTGCGAGCAAAGAATGTGTTTAGAAAAATAGAAATTTAGAAAACATTTAAAAAAACAAAACAAACAAACACACATTTCTTTGCAGCTGAGTCTCATTTTGTTTTAACCAGTATGGTGTGAATTTTGCTTCTCTTTATTTTTGTTTTCTGTTTTTGTTGCAAGGAAAGAATGTTTTTAGAAAATGGAAATTTAGAACACATAGAAAAGCAACAAACAAACAAACAAACAAACACATTTTTAAAATTGAAGTTTCAAAAATAATCAATCCAGAAAAGAAAAAAACAAAAACATTTTTGAGAGTCACTTTGCTTTTGGAACATCTTGGTTCTTCAGGAATCATACATTTCTTTCACCTTTCTTACTCCAGAGATAGTTGTGTTATTACATAATAATTAAAGCTAAGCTTTAATGGTTGAACTGTCTGTGAGGTTTGTGCGGCCAAATTACGTAATTTTGGGCCTCCATGCCCGTCATTGTGGACTCCCTATGGACAGAATCTTTCCAACGAAGCACCAATTTGTAACTACGCAGACAGATCCACGAGGAAAACATGGCTAGCAAGCAGCAACTCCTGCTGGCGAAGTCCAAATCATGGGCTGTCTCTAGATGTTAACATTTGCAAACCCACACCAGAATTTTCTCTGCATGGAATTCGCGTGGAAGCCCAAAATTATGTAATTTCGACGCGTGGAATGCGCTGAATATCAGTGCTTTAAACATAATGAGCCCTT